TACTACTACTACTACTCTTACTACTACTACTACTACTACTACTACTACTACTACTCAACTACTACTACTACTACTACTACTACTACTACTACCACTACTACTACTACTACTACTACTACTACTACTACTACTACTACTACTACTACTACTACTACTACTACTAAACTACTACTACTACTACTACTACTACTACTACTACTACTACTACTACTACTACTACTACTACTACTATACTACTACTACTACTACTACTACTACTACTACTACTACTACTACTACTACTACTACTACTACTACTACTACTACTACTACTACTACTACTACTACTACTACTACTACTACTACTACTACTACTACTACTACTACTACTACTACTACTACTACTACTACTACTACTACTACTACTACTACTACTACTACTACTACTACTACTACTACTACTACTACTACTACTACTACTACTACTACTACTACTACTACTACTACTACTACTGCACTCCCGAGGGGCCGCAAACCCACGGACGCCAGAGCACCCCACCGCCGCACCGCGCTGCGCCGCCGCGGCGGCCGACGCGCCCTAAGAGGCCGAGAAGTCCACGCCCGAGGCGGGAGGGGCGCCTGCTAAACGCGCGAGGGAACAGATGCGAGGACCCCAAGAGCCCCACAAGCGAAACGCGAAGGCGCCGAGGGGGCCCCGCGAGAAGAGAGGGGGAAGGACGCCTCAGAGGGCCACGAGAGGGGAGGTGGGAGGGGCCCCGAGGAGCCGACAACGGCGGACAAGAGGCCACGAGGAAAAGGGGGGGGGAGGTGCCTCTCGAGGGGCCTCGAGAGGGGAGAAGGCCTCTGGACACCTCCGAAGCCTCAGGCGGCCTCCGAGCAGCTCCCGGAATTCTCCCGGCCCCGCAAGCCGCCGCCCAGATAGCGGCGCCGGCGCTGCCCAGCCGCCAGCCTCCAAAGCTGACTGGGCGGCGACGTACAGAAGCCAGGCTCTGCCCAGGGAAGCGGTCGTCCGGTCACCTGCCCGGGCCGGCGCCCTCCCCGCAACGAGGCGAGAGAGGAGCAATAACAATAAACAAGTACGCGCGAAACAATGGAGTCCGAAAGGACGCGGGGGGGGCGCCACTCCCAGAGTCCAAGACGCCTGCGCGCGCGGCCGCGGGCGGCCTCCTCAGGAGCGGCGGCGCGCAGAGGAGGTGCGCTTGCTGGCATGTACGGCGGCAGCGGCGGCGCCGGATTGCCGAAAGGCTGCGTCACCCGCCTCCTGCGGCCCCCTGCAGGCACCGCCGCGCGTTGCCGGGCGAGGCGCCCGAGCCCTGCGCGCTGCAGCGCCGCCGCCGCCGCCTGGGCGCCTGACAATGCCAGCATGCCTCCCCCAAGGGCCACCGCTCCACGAGCGATGGAGGCCACCTCCGCGGCCCGCATCACGCTCTCCTGGAAGAAGGCAATGCAGGGCGCGCGCCTGCGCCCCGCGATCGCGCAGATGTCGAGGGCCCCGCGCAGCGCGGCGCTGTCCCTGGCAGGCGCGGCTTGCCTCGCCGCCCACGGGCCGAGGTCGAGGCCCCGGGGTGCACCATAACCAGACAGCATGCCTCCATCGAACGCTCCCAGATGCCCTTGGCGGACGCCGTTGCGTTCAAGCAGAGCTCGTCGCCGTCGAAGGTCGTCTCGAAATACTGCGCTCCGTAGATATCGATGCTGCGGCAGCATTGGCTCTTGTGCTCTGCGTGCTCTGTAGAGTCCCCGTCCACTATCCAAATGATGTCTGGCGGTCGAGGTGCTACCTCTTGCCGGCCAACTTCGTCGCCATTTGCTTGGGCTCCTGATGCGATGAAGGCCCCGCTGTTGTTCCTGCCCACGGCTTCCGCGCACCCGCCATCGCCGTGCTGCCCGCCTTCGGTTGCACTAGGTGGTGCATCGCGAGGTCGCGGCGCTGGTCGTTCTGGTGCCGGCGGTTGTGCTCGTCATCGCGCTGGGCACGTGGCTTTGCCCTCTCTGAAGCCTCCGGTTCTGAACAGATGGGTCATCTTACCGTCATCGGCCTTCGGTTGCTTACGGCGTCGCGTGCTAGCGGTTGATACGCGTCCGCGTAGTGCTGCAAGCGCCCAGTGTCTCGGTGGCGCAGATGTCTGGCCGAACGCACTCGCGCGCGAAAGTCTGTGCCGCATGCGCTGGAAACGCTGCTCTCCGCGAATGTTTGTGCGTCGAGCGCTAGGAGGTGGGCCTTGGCCCTGCGACTGCGGAGGCTGGCTTCGGAGGTGAAGACCTTCTCGCAGTCATGGCATGCATGCCATCTCTTGGCCGCGATGCTCTCGTCGTGCATCGTGGAGGTGCTGTGGTGCTGGTTATGGTTCCTCTGCTGCTCGCAATGATCGCTGCTGCGCCTCCAGATGTCGCGCTGGCAGCGCTCCTCCGTCACCCGCTTGCACTGCTCGAAGGCCTCCCTGATAATTTTCGCCATCTCTGTCGGGCCGCTCCTGCATATGCCAGCCAAGCCACTGAGGTCGACGAATGCAGGGAGGTCGCTGTTGACGTGGTACTGCTTGGCCCTCTGCATGTCTGCTTGGATCGCTTGGTGCCAATTGTCGCGATGCTGAAGTCGGAACTCAAGCAAGCACTTCGATGGAGGGTCCCTGACGGCTTACTGCGCTGAAATACCTGAGACTACGTGCTGAAACCACCGCTGGCAAGTCCGCGCGCTTGGCGTCGTAATAGACCTTGCTGCCTTGGATCTGCTCGTCGGCGTCGCGATTGTATCCGGCCGAGGCGGCCGCCCTGTAGGCTCGTGAGCGAGCCGACTTCAAGCGCGGGTGATCGCTGTCGCTCATGCCGCACCACAGCTCGGACTGGCAAGAGCCTGGCGTTGGTGAGCGCGTCGACGTACCTCATAAGCTTCGCAGGCTCGGCTCGGGCATGCGTTGCGACAGAACGCCGGATGCGGCCCAAAGCCTGACGAGGGGCTCGAAGGCGATGTTGCACTTCAGGTCCCCTGGAGCCGTCGCTGCATCTCATCGTGCCCATGTGCTAGTACATGTAGACGACATCGAAAGCTATATCCCACTTTGTAGTGGACACCTTCATCTGGTCGCCGCCGAGGCAGTAGCGGATCCGATTCGCCCGTGGCCCGCGCGCGGTGACGAGGGATGCCGAATCCGAGGGGCCGAATTTGATGCCCATTGCGTGCGTCTTGAAGGCCTCGTGCACTAGATCCCCTCAGAAGCTGCATCTTCACGGTCAGCTGCGTCGAGCGTCTGGCCGCGGTGATGAAGGTCGCGTCGTCGGCGCATGCGATGTCGCCCATGTCCTGAGGGGCCCCCGCGCGATCGAGGTGGACGGCAGGCTGCTCGTGTCGGATGTATTCGCCCAGGTGAATGCCAAGTCCGCTCTCCCCATAACTGTTCTGATCTTCCCAAGCGGCCTTGTGAAGGCGAAGGGGAAGAAGGCCCGCTAGTGGTGGCCCTGGCCGCGCCCCTGTCGTCGATGTCGCCGTCGCTGCTTGTCCGGGCATGTTGAACCACGTCAAAAGCTGCGCCTCGGCGGCGGGTGCGAAGAGGTTGTCGTCGCGGCAGCGTTCTCCAAGAAGCCCAGGCTGAGCTAGGACCTCCCCGAGACGCGGACGAAGAGCCTCTGGGATCTGCGGGGTGCGGCATATCAGATCCACGTCGTCGCTGTGCTGCGGGACCGCAATGATGAACTGTCGAGCTATCCTATAGAAGGCCGCACGCAGGTCGACAAAGAGGAAAGCTATCGATTGCCCTGTGGCCTTCGAAACCTGCTGGGGTGCTCTGACCTGGCGAGTCGCCATCGAGGCGCTTCGGCCCCTGATTCCTCCAACCTGACTGTCGCATATGATCACCGCTGCAACATCTCGAAGACGGTTGCGGAGAAAGGCATGCTGATGGTTGGCCGCAGCATTGCAATGCGCAGGTGTCAGCTTTCCTTTTCGGAATTTCTGCGAGCGTAGCACGCTTGAAGGCAAGAGGTTCTTGGAGGCGGAGAGGGACTTTAGTGTGCAGTGCATGGGCCTCCGCCGAATGCTTAAGTGGGTCGACCGCAGGGATATCGCGCGGGATCCCGTCCTCTCCTGGAGCGCCTCCCTTCTTCCCTCTGTTGCACGCGATTTGCGTGTCTAGCAGAGTGTGCGTTTTCGATGGAGAGCCCTTCACAAACGAAGTCTTCAACGTCGAAGGAGTTGTGCGCGGCCGCTACCTGGTGACGATTGCACAAGGAGGAGTCCTCAAACTCAGAGTAGCATCTGCAACTGCACCTCGCACACCCGCTCCTCAGAGTCGATCGCATCGCCGTTGCCGTCCAACTGGTAAGGGATAACGTCGCCGCCCTGCCCTCGACGCCCTCGTCGGCCTCCAATGCGGAGTAGCGGTAGAATCCATCGCAGCTCGGACAGCGCGTCCTTGGACTGCGCGGAGTCGCCAAACTTCTCCGCCATCGCGCTCATGGGGTCGCGTCTCTCCTCCCCGATGGTCGTCTCGAGGATCGCAGCAGTTGACATGAGGTAGTCATGGCGAGACTCAACCGCGTGGTCTGTTCTCGCCCTGGAGTTCCTGGTGGGAAGAGAAGCTGCTCTTGCTGAGGAAGGCGTGCTGCGAGGTGCTCCAGCTTACCCTTCCCAGTTTTCAGCAGCCTGGGCTCCCTGATGGCGTACCTCCTCGTCTTGATGAGCCTCGAAAGGCTGATGCTGTTGTATCCCTTAATCGGCGTTACCGGGTCTTTCATGAAGGCTACTCCGGCTGCCGCGTGGATGTCCTGAGCCATGTTATCATAGCGCTCGTTGGCGACAGTGCCCCACTCGTCCTCATACTTAGAGTGCTCCTATAGATGCTCTGGGCCTCGTCGTTCTCGAACTTGCTCTTGTCGAAAAATACGGAGGTCGACTTCCCCGGTCTCGGCTCGACAGCATATCTCACTGTGCAGACGATCGGCATATGATCCCAAACATTGGGTCTATTACCAAAATACTGTATGGCGACGCACTCCTGGCCCGCCGTTGCCAGCGGCTGAATCAGTCCGGCGCAGTCGACGCGCTTGCCGTCGCCCTTGGAACTCCGCAGAGTAGGACCCGAAACGAAGATGGTGTTGACCAATGACATGCCCACCTCACACGCCATCTCCGCTAACTGCTGGCCGTTGGGGTCGCCTCTCTCTGCCAGCGGGGCGGTGGCCGACGCGGCGGTCGTCGGCATAGTCAGTGCTTATCTGGCCGCGAGCGCCTGTGAGCAGCATGGCGACCTGCCACTGCTGCATGCACTGCCGAAGTTGTTGCCACCGCTGCTCTCTCATGGTTATGCGGGCGTGGTGATGACGCGCATGTGCGACCGCCGCAGTGAGGTCCAAGCAGGGCGCCCTGATCCTGATGATGAGAACGGCCGGCGGTTTTCTAAGCGCCCTGACGCGACTGCCGGCAATGCGGAGCTCGTGCGATCCGACGAGGCCGTAGGAGATGAAGATGGCGATGAGCAGAGCACCACCGTGACCGCCGTCGGCGGCAGGACCACCGATGTCAATGTAACCGTCTGGAAACGCGCGCCCTTCGCTACCTCTCGCCTCCAGAACGCCTACCAGCAGCAGGGGCGAATCCGCGATGTTGGACCTTGAGATGCCTGACCTCTCCACCTTCAACTGCTGCTGCTCGACGTTGTCGCCGTGGTGTTTCTTCCTAGTGTGGTCGTGCCCTGGACCAGCGACATCGCACTGCAGGAGGCCACCTTGTAGTAGAGCTGCCCTGGATCTGCAGGCCCATGACGCGGCTTGTCTGGGCTGTGTAGCCTGACGTGACCGTCGTCATCGACTCTCACCCTCTGGGGCGTTGTCTCAAAGAAAAAGCCGCGACCACCAAATGGGGCACATCGCATCTGAGCTTCGTGGCCACGCACTATGAATTCCCATTCCTGGGCCATGTCGTACTTGAGATGGTGTCGAAGTGCTGTCTGCGGTTGCTGAGACTCGCTGGCACTCTTGGCTGGCGCGACAGCCAGCTGAATCCACGGGTCGAACTCGCGGCTCTCGGCGCGCCTGATGGCAAGCTGCTTCTCGTCGGAAACTCCCCTCGCGAGTCGGGCGGTGGCCCGGGCCCACTTCTCGAATGGGCGGTGCATAGCTTTCCCTCGAGCTGCGTCAACCGCGTGCTGCGAGTCGCTGGTCGCGACGTTGACTCCAGAGGATGCGCCCTCTGCAGAATGAAAGCGAGCGCCCAACGCATTGCTGCCAATTCAGACGCTGCGCTGTCCAGTCTGCCGTCGTCAACGTCGAGACTCGCCTCCCGTGTCATCCCGCTGTTGCACTCGATGTAGTGGAAGTAGCCGTCGGTCTGCCCTACGACCCACAGCAGCCAATCCATCGCGAACGTGGTTGGACTCGTAGTGCGAAACGTCGGTGTACATAGTAAACTCCCTCATGCAGGTGGTATCGATCTGGTGGATTTCGTCACGTGTTAGCTATAGTGCCAGTCTAGCAAGCTGCTCCATCTAGATGCCGTTCGCGTCCACCCGGCGGTCGAAAAGCCCGACCGCCTGGCCATCGTTGAACCTCTCCTGGGAAGTGTCGTCGCTGCTATGCTCGCAGGTCCTGCCGTGGAGGGCATGGTGGCCGTTGTCGCGGTCGCTGCCGTGATGGATGCTGGGTGGGTCAGGTGTGTTGGTCGGTCCTTGTCGGGTGAGGATGTCGTTTGTCGGTTGGTCGTGGAGTCGGTAAGTTGCCGGGGGTGGTGGTGCGTGGCTGCGTCTCGCATTTGATTGGCCCCCATGTTCCGACTTCAGGTGGGGGGAGTCATGGCGGCCCCACCTCGCCCCGCTGTGGCGGGGGCCGCAGTGCCCTCGGTGGGGGCGAACCCCAGGCCTGGAGCTCGGTGCTGTTCGTGGTGGGGTTGGTCGCGGCTGCCCTGTGCTCCGCCTCGTCGGCGTCTGGGTGAGCTCATCATCCGCCGTGGGGATGATGGGGGTGGCGAGCTAGGACGGGCGGCGGGGGCGCGGGCAGAGGCCGCCCCACACCCACCCACCCCCCTCCCCCCTCCCCCCTGCCCCTCACCATCGCCCCTGGCAGGCGCGGGCAGTGCTCGCCCTGCCCCCCGCCCTTCGAGCCCGTCTCGAAGTCTGAGCCTTGCCTCGCCAGGGCCGCTGCGACTTGGTCTCTTCGTAGTTGGGCGGGGCTGTCGTCTTGGGTCTGTTCGCGCTGGTCCATGCTGCCAGTCCTTTGTGGGCGCTGCTGGGGGTCGCGTAGATCTCGCTGGTCGCCGCGGAAGCTGTCGTGATGTAGGTCGCGCTAATTGCGTGCCTGGAGGTGCATGTGGTCGCGTTTCCCGCTGCTTGCGCTCTGTGCCGTACGTGATGGGTCCTCGTGCGCTCCCCCATGCGCCCTCGCAGATCCAGCTCCACGTATCGACTCGTGCCTGAGGTGTTCCCACGCATCCGGGGCCCCCTCTGGACTTTGCGCCCTAATGGCTCCAGCTCCGCGTGGCGGCTCTTGCCTGCCCAGTCAGTCCAGCCGCTCGAAGCGCTCCAGACATGCGCTTGATCTTCTGCCAGGGCTCGCAGGATACTTTTGCGCCATGTGGAGATTCAGCAAAGCTGCGATGGAACTTTGGAATGTTTTTTTTCGCACGGGAGTCCCTTTGGAGTATTTCGAGAAGGCGCGCTGCAGCATGTTGGGGGCATTTCGAACTGTCGAAAATCTCGCTGGGATATATTTGGAGCATTTTGTAATTCAGCGCGCTGCGCTGGAGCATCTCTGTAGTATTGCGGAAGGGATCGTCGACGCTGGAGCATTTTGGGAGTACTTTGAATGTTCGAAAATCTCGCTGGAGTATCTCTGGAGTTTGATTTGAAATCAGCGCTGTGCGCTGGAGTATGCCCGGAATTTTGTTTGAAAAGTGTTGGGCATGTTTGTCTGTTTCAAATCTGGCCGAATTTGGTTGGAGTGTTGTTGGAGCCTTTGTAAAGCATTTCGAGTCTGCCCAAATAGTTTAAGACCATTTCCCGTGCTGATGACAACCGCGTGGACTATGATTGGAGTAAGTTGCGCGCGCGGCGCGCGAAATGCCCCCCATGGGGCATGTTGCGTCGGGGGCTCGCGCCTAGCATGCCAGGCCAGGGTATTGCGGAGACGCGCGGGAGACGTCGGCGGCTCGTTGGGCGCGCCCGCAATGCCGCTGCTGAGCCAGCAAGCGCGCGTCTTTCCTCTCGGTTTCCTGGCGAAGCTCGCCGCGAAAAGGGCGCGCCGCCACCTCCAACTCCCGCTGGCGCAACGCGCGTGCTGGGCCGCTTTCTGAAGACGCACCCGCGCAAACATCCACGCTCGGGCGTGCGCGCGCTCGCGCTACGAACCGCGCCTGTTTCGACCGCCACGGTTTTGTTCCATTCGGCTACCGCGAAAACGAGACGGACAGATCGGTCATGGCGCGCGTCGAAGCGAGTCCCACGCGCGCGCCCCGCCCGCCCGCCCGCCCGCCCCCCCCACCGCCACCAGCACGCACGCACGCACGCACGCACGCACGCACGCACACACACACACAGACGCAGACACAGACACAGACACACACACAGACACACACACACACACACACACACACACGCACACACACACACACACACACACCGCAACCCTCCCACTTCTTTCGCGCAATTAGCCTGGCGATGGGCCCAACCATATGCGGCTGCGAGCACCGCGCTGCGGGTGCCACTCTCGGTGGAACACCCGACGGGGCCACGAAGCGCGCGAGGGGCGCGCCGGGCGAGCGCAGCAGGTTACACTGGCGTCTTCGGCGGAGCTCCCTCTGGCGCAGCAAAACTTGCGAGGGGCGTGCCTGCGTGGGCAAACGCAGCCACTGGGGCCTTCGGGGGAGCTCCCCGTGGGGCCACAAAACGCGCGTGGAGCGCGCCGACATGGGCGCGAGGTGGGCGGGGGGCCGCGCGTGGACATCGCCGCTGGGGCCTTCCGCGGAGAACCGCGAAACGAGCGAAGGGCGACCAGACTTGGGCATTGGGAAGGCGGGGGGCCGCGCGAGGACATGGCCGCTGGGGCCTTCGGTGGAGATATGCAGCGCGCGCGGAGCGGCGCGCGGGCATGGCCGCTGGGGCCTTCGGCGGGGCCCCCTTGGCGGCCGCGAAACGCGCGCGCGGCGTGCCGAAGGTGGGCGGGGGGTCGCACGCGGACATGTCCACTGTGGCCTTCGGTGGAACTCGGGCCACGGGGCGCGTGAGAGCGCGCCGAAATGGGCGCGGGGTGGGCGGGGGCAGGGCGGGGTGTGGGAAGGGGGCGGGGCGCGCGCGGACATGGCCACTGGCGCCATCGGCGGAGCTCCCGATGGGGCCACGAAGCGCGCGAGGGGCTCGCCGAAACGGGCGCGCGGCGGGCGGGGGGCCGCGAGTGGACATAGCCGCTAAGGCCATCGGCGGAGCCCCCGAAAAGGCCACGGAACGCACGAGGGGCGTGCCGAAATTGACATTCGGCGGGCGGGGTGCCCATGCACAATGAAATAGCAACGCCCGAGATGCCAGGCGCCAGTGCGCGCGCGTGCGCGCGCGCTCGCGGCGCGGCGCATGCATTTCTACACCATGGGCGGCGATGTTGAATCGCAAATCCAATGGCCAAAACCCAATGAACATTTCGTTGTCTGATCGGAAGGCGCGACCATCTCAACGTGGTGTATATGAAAACGTATACGCGAGGCAACGCCAGCGCGCGAGATGGCCGGCGCCCACGCGCGCGTGCGCGCGCTCGCGGCGCACGCGGTTCTAACCAATGGGCGGCGTTGCCTAATCGGAAACCCAATGTGCAATCTCATTCTCGGAACGGAAGGCGCAGCCATAAGAACGTGGTGTATATGTGAAAGTATACACACTGCTATGCCAGCGCGCGAAATGCCAGGCACCCGCGCGCGCGTGGCGCGGTGCATGCGTATGTATACCATGGGCGGCGATGTTAAATCGAAAACCCACTTGTCAAAACCCAATGTAAAAGTGCATTATCTGATCGGATGGCGCGGCCATCTCAACGTGGTGTATATGAAAACGCACGCGCAATGCAATGTCAGCGCGCGAGATGGCAGGCGGCCGCGCGCGCGCGGGGCGTGGTGCATGCGATTATATACCAAGGGCGGCGACGTCAATTCTGAAACCCAGCGGTCAAAACCCGATGCAAAAACTCATTCGCTCTCGGAGCGGAAGGCGCAGCCACCGGAACATGGTGAACAGGCAAGCGCATGCACAATGCAATGCAAGCGCGCGAGATGGCAGGTGCCCGCGCGCGCGAGCGCGCGCGCGCTCGCTCGCAGCGCGGCGCTGACGTATCTATACCACGGGCGGCAACGTTAAATTGAAAGCCGGATGCTCAAAACCCAATGAAAAAAATCTCTGATCAGAAAGGCGCGGTCATCTCAACGTGGTGCATGCGAAAACGCATGCGCGATGCAATGCCCGCGCGCGAGATGGCAGGCGCCCGCGCGCGCTTGCGGCGTGGTGTCAACGATTATACACAGCGGGGTGCGGTTTTCAAATCGGAAGCCCAGTGGTCCAAACCCATTGTAAAATTTCATTCTCGGGTTGGAAGGCGCAGCCATCTCAACGTGAGTGTGTGAAGACCTATAGACAGTGCAATGCCAGCGCACCAAATGCCACGTGCTGACGGGCGCGCGCGCGCGCCGCGGCGCGCGGGTCGCCGCGTGCCACGGCAGGTGGCCAGGTCAACCTCTGTTGGCCCGCGCGGGTGCCAATGCCGCAGCGCGTGCCCCCCCAACGGAGCCGTTCTTCTATCGCCAATGCTGTAGGCGGCCCTCGTTCACAGAGGCGGCGCTTGACGACGGCGCGTCTCCATGTTTCGGCGCAGTCGCGGCGGCGGCGCGCGCCCCGCGGGGTTGCAGCAGGGGTCTCGCGCAAACTCTTGCGACTGTTTCTGCGATGCGCTTGTCGGCGCCATCCTGTCACTTGCCATGTTTTCAGAGACGCCCGATTGGAGCGCCGCGCGCTTCGTCGCGCCCGACGCGATCGGAAACCCCGCCGCTGGCAAGCCCGCGAGAGCGGACGAACTGGCGCGCACGTCTTGCATTCCAGCCTCACAAGCGGCGGTTAAAACACGACGCCCCTTGGCATCTCGGAGAAGCACGGGAGGGAAACGCGACCAACGGCGACTGCGTCAAACGGTCGAAGGAGGAGCGAAAAGAGGAACCAGGAAGAAAAAACAGGACTTTGTTGATGCACAAAGAAAGTACGCAGGCATTGGGACGATATGCGCGGAGAAATATGGCATGTTCTGCCATAAAATGTGAGTTCCAGCGGCCGCAGAGCCTGTCCGGGCGATGGTCGCGGCTGCGGGGGCGAACAATGTAAACGCAGGGTCTGGGCCTCCAAAACTACAAGCGAATGTCAATAGGGCGATCGCCGAAGCGACGGTGCGTCGCATCGGTTTCTAGAGGCGCCGCCGCGCCACCCGGCGTGCGATGGCATGGCGCAGTCGGTTCTCACTGTGCGCTGTGCACAAGCCACTTTGCTGCAAAAGCACGCGCGTGCCGAAGCACGGCCGCGCGCAGCGCGCGCCGTCGCCGCTACGAGCGGCGCAACAGGTCATAACGACGCCACGCGGCGCAGCATGTTTTCCAGACTTGCGCGCCGTCTGCTAGCGAAGCTTCTGTCAAGGAGGCAATTTCTTTACTATTTTAGCATATTTTGAAGATGCCTCGGAAATTCGCCACCGGACTAAGGGGCGCGCCCGACTTGGCGCTTGCCTCGCGGCATCCGTTGTCATTGTCGTCGTCGCTCTCGGCGCCCGCTGCATCTTCGTCTGAGGCCCCGAGCTCGTCTCGGACATCCAGTCAGTTTTTGCGCTCGTCGTTGGGCTCCTCCAGATTATTCTGCCAGCGGTCGCGCTCGTTCTTGGCTTTGTACATCTGCCGATCTAGGTACTCCAGCTGCTGCTTGTGGATGTGCTTGGTCCGTCTATATGCTGGCTGCAACGATTGTTGAACGATTGTTGCACGAACCCGAGGACCCCAATCTCCTCCTTAATCTCTCCTGGGTTCCTTCCTGCACGCCTGGCCGCGATCACATGCAAGGCGAGGGACTCCAGGCGCTGCTTCGCCTCGTCGCGCTGCAGCTCGAGGCGATTGCCATTCAGCGGGGACTGGAAGGCGGCGCGCACCACCGCCTCCGCCGCTCTCGCGATGGGGATGCCCTCGATGACCTTCTCGAAGCTTTGACGGCTGGACTCCTCGCCGCGCTCCTTCCGCGCAGCTGGGGTCTGGGTTCTCTCGCCGTTCCACATCTGTACGTGCTGCTCCTGCGGCTGCTGCTGCTGCTGTGGTTGCTGCGGCTGCCGGTGCTGTCTGCGATCCGCCGTGCCGCTCTGATGCTCTGATGCTGGCGGTCGAAGACCTCTCCTTTGCGAAGCTGCCCGTCAAATCTGTCGGCAAGAGGATGTCCACGGAGCGTTTTCTGCCAGCTGTCCTCGGTCCATTCATCGTGTTGGTGCCGCGGTGCCGCCGTCTCAGAGCGCTTGCGCGCCATCTGGTCGTCCGCGCTCTGGGGCTGCTGCCTGTGGCGCCGGTGCTGCTGAGCTGAATGGTGCTCCCCGAGGAGCCTGCTCGCACTGATGGCCCTCAGGAGAAGTCGCGCCTGTGCGCGCTTCTCTCGGGCTCGCCTGTGCCAGGCGCTCTCCTGGGCTGGCGTTGCCTCCTGCCGCTCTCGGCGGCGGCGGGGCGCCCAAGGGCGTCTCCTGACTCGCGGCTGCCTCTCCCGCGCTGCGGTGGGCTGCGCGCCTGAGCCCAGGCTGGGGGCCCCTCGCTGCCTGGCATGGCCCGCGGCGCGGCACGATGGGGGGCGACACGATGGGGGCGACACGATGGGGGCGACGGCGGTCGACCCCTGGCGCGCTGGCGGGGGGGGGGCCTCATCAGCCCGTGGCTTCTCCTCCTCCTCCTCCTCCTCCTCCTCCTCCTCCTCCTCCGCCTCCTCCTCCGCCTCCCCTCCCTCCGCTGGTCCACGGCTCGGGCACCCGCCCCACTCAAAGGGCAGGTGGCCACCAGGGCCGGGCGCGCGAGGGGATGAGTCCGCCCCCCCGCCCCCCCCCCCCAGCTTCGGAGGGGAGGGCGGCTGCCCACACGCTCCCACGGAGCCGCCTCCTGCGGCCATCTCCGATCGCAACAAGCTCCTCTTCTCAACAACCCAGACATGCTCGCGTCGTGAAACAGACGCACCACGTGCTTGTTTCTCGTTGCCGTTTTCGGCCTCCGGGAGCCCTCGCCATGTCCTGGGACCGTCAACATCACGACTCGGGATGACAAGCCAACCTTGGGGAAAGAAAAGGGGTCGGACCTTCGGAGGGCCCCGCCATGCCAGGAAAAAACAAAGACATCGGACATCTGGGGCCATGACTCTCTCCTGGGGGAGCTCCAGACCACTTCCTGGGGTCTCGCTATGCTCATCCTGCGTCGCCTCCTGACGGCCCGGGGGCCCGTGGAGGCCAACCCTGAGGGCCGAACAAGGCGAGCTGCCACTGCCGTCACAATCTTCCACGACGCGAGGAGAAGAGGCTGGGGCCTCCGTCCTCCCTCCCTTCTGATGGGCCGATTTGTCGCTACCGCTGCCATACGTAGGAGAGAGAGGAGGAAGATGAGGAGGAGCAAGAAGAGGAGGAGGAGGAAGAGGAGGAGGAGGACCCCCCCATCCTCCCCTCCCCGCCGTCCTACCTATAGCAGTGGTAATGGAAAACTGGCCCATCCCTTTCCCTCCTCGGAAAGGCACCCCCGAGGCCGGCGCACTCGAGGCCCCCGGCGCGGGGCCCAGGGCGCACCGCGAAGAAGAGGGGCGTCTGGTGCAAGCGCGTATTCACCTCAGCAAAAAGCGCGAGCAGCGTTCGGCGCGGCATCGGCGAAGTGGAGCTGCAGCTTGAGGGGCGGGACTGGGGATGGGGGAGGAGGAGGAGAAGGATGCGCCACGGAGATGTGCGAGAACTGCGCCTCGAGACTGGGCGCAAACGACACCTCTCGGCGACGACGACGGCAACGAAGCGGGCAATGACAACGGCGGCGGTGACGACGATGACGTCCACGACGCTGGCGCAGACGGCGCCGCCGACGAAGATGACGACAACAGCAGAGGCGGAGACGGCGACGACCGACGACGAAGACGATGACGACGGCGGCGGCGGCGATCCCTGAGATCCGATGTTGCGAAATTACCCGAGACATACCCAAACAATCTGCATCAAACGACCACTGCAAAAAGCCCGCTTCATGCGGACGGTAACGTGACTAGAAACGCTACGTGTTGTGCCAATTACATGGAGGGCTTACGCATTCCACGACCCAACGGAAATATTGGAATGATGCAGTACCCTAGGATGTGTTAGCGGTGCCATGATCCATGCTAATCACACCACTGCGCTTGGCCTCCCGGGGGCTCGCGGAAATCGCGGCGGCTGCGCAGGTGGCAGCACCCCCATGGAGCCGCGAGGTCTTGTCTGGGTGAGTGTATGCCCTCACTGCGCTAGACCTCCCAGGGCCCCACGAGAGTGGCGACGATTGCGCAGGTGACAGAAACCCCGACGGAGCCGCGGGGTGTAGTCTCGGTGCGCGTACGACCCCAATGCGCTGGACCTCCCAGGAGCCCACGGAAGTGGCGACAATCGCGCAGGCGGCACCATCCCGACGGACCCGTCGGGGCCCAGTCCGGGTCTTCGAATGCCCCCCCTGCGCTGGACCTCCATGGGCCACCCAGGAGCCCACGAAGGTGGCGACGACTGCGCAGGTGACAAAACCTCCACGGAGCCTGCCGTTTTGGATCTGCGCATGTCCTCACCGCGCTGGGCCTCCCAGGCGCCCACGAACGTGGCGACCGCTGCGCAGGTGCAAGCACCCCCCCCGCTTGAGCCACGAGGTCTAGCCTGGGACTACTTGTGCCCCCACTGCGCTGTGCCTCCCGGGAGCCAAGAGGAGGAGACAATTGCGCTGGCGGCAACACCCCGACGGAGCCGCGCGGTCTCGTCTGGGTCTGCGTGTGTTTCCACTGCGTCGGGCCTCCCATGAGCCTGCAAAAGTGGCGACGGTTGCGCTGTTCACAGCCCCCCAGTGAGAACGGCAGGAGGCAACGAGGCAAGATGAGGGATGAGAGGAGGGGATAGGACGGAGACAACAATGCTCTATTCAAAACGACGGTCCAGCCGAAGGGAGGGTTGGGAAAACAGATGCCGCGAACGAAAACACGACCAGAGCCCTAACCCCCATCTTGCCGCTGCATGTTTCGAGCCGGGTCGATCTGTCATGGCCCAGGAGCTCGAAACAGGGCGAAAAGGCCCAGTGCGCAAAAATCGCAACGCCAGGATCTCGGCGATGGCGATGGAGGCGCGGCCCACCACTGTGGGGTCCAGCTTGCGGGCGACCAGCAGCTGCAGCATGTCAAGCGCGCCACTCTCGCGCGCCTCGGGCTCGCTAAGAAAGGAGGAGGAGGCGGAGGGGGGGGGGAGGAGGACCATGAGGAGTATTGGAGGAGCGGATGGGAGGAGGACGAGGAGGAGGAGGAGGAGGAGGAGGAGGAGGAGGAGGAGGACCAATGGAAACCCAAGACGCATCAACGAAGTTGGACTAAACCATCCCTCCAAGCTCCCTCTTCGCAGTCCCCTGCAAGGGTTCATTTCCACTGAGGAAACTGCCTCGTTGGGAGAGAACCGCTTGAAGAACCTGAAGCTTGCCATGAACCCGGCGCGACCCCCTTTAGGGGAAACCCTCTTGAATGGGAGCATCACTTGGCGTTGCTTGGCATTGCTTGGCATGGCTTGGCATTGCGTGACATTGCTTGGCATTGCTTGGCGTTGCTTGGCATTGCTTGGAGTTGCTTGGCATAGCTTGGCATGGCCTGGCATGGCATTGATTGGTTATGGTTCGGCATTGCTTCGCATTGCTTGGCACTGCTCGACATGGGTTGGCATTGCTGGGCATTGCTTGGCATTGTTTGGTATTGCTTGGGGCAACCGGGGGCGGGGAACCCGAGGAACCCAGGGAACCCGAGGAACCTCCGAGGAACGGGCAACGTAAGAATACGAGGCACCGGGTGCGGGGAACCCGAGGAACTCGGGGAACCTCCGAACAACGGGCAGTAATACGAGGCACCAGGAGCGGGGAACCCGAGAAACCTGGGAAACCCGATGAAACTCCGAGCAACGGGCACAGCAAGAATACTAGGCACCAACCTTTCACAAATCAAAAAAAAAACTCAAGCAAGCCTAAGTGGGAAAAAATGGGACTCCAACGCCAAAAATCAACATGGCTATTGCGTCTTGACGATCCTGAATCCTGCCAGACCACCATTAATGGGACTTCATTCCCGCGAATCAGCTTGACTTTTGCGCCCTCACAGTCCTGAGTCCTTTCCAACACAATTTCTGGCACGTTGGCCAGTGGAACCCGTGAAACCCTTGCAAAGTTTAAATCGAATGCGCGCAGCGCGAAGGCGAGACCCACATGTTGAAAACGAACCGCCCTCAATCTGCGAACATCCGGATCCTGCTTTCTAAAACAAAAACGAATGTGCGCAACGCTATGGCGAGAACCACATTTTGAAATCCACCCGCCCTCAATCCGGAAGAACTTGCATATATATATATATATATATATATATAGATCTATATATATATACATGCATATATATATATATATATATATATATATATATATATATATACACATATATATATATATACAAGGGGAAGAAGTCGGTGAAGGGAACTGCCCATTTACCGTTATTGCAGCAGAATGTGAACGGCTCGCAAGGGAAGAGCCGTGCTGAACAGTGCGGGCAAATGCGGGCCATGTCGCCTACTACGAAGGGCTTGTCGTCATAAGTTGGGCGCCCGTTCGTGGCGCACTCCCGGCGAACTCCTCCTGAATATCGTTGGTGGTGGGCGAGCGTGTCACTGGGCACAGTGAGGCCGCATTGGGCGCAGGTGGTCTCCAGGCGGGAGCGGGTCTGGCCAGACGCTTGGGGAGCACTAGCTGTGCAAGTGCGGCATGCTCGAGTCGGTCGGTAGATCTGGTACTGGCTGAAGCTCTCACGCGGAAGGTCGAGGCCACAGCGGGAGCAATGCAGCTCGGCAGCGCTGGGTCGGCCACGGCCAGCGGGTCGTTTGTGCACTTGAGAGGGTTGGCCGTCGTCGCCAGCACAACGCGTGTAGCGTGTGCGACGGCACTGCAGACTTGTGAGAAACGCAGTTGCAGAGCCAGGGAGGAGCCATGCCCCGCCAACAACCTTCCGCAACCCAGAGAACATGGTACCGTCTGGGCCCAGACGGCTACGGAGGAAAGATGATGCCTCGGGGAAGAAAGACGCTGAGTCCAACGACAGCGTGGCATGGTGATCAGGGTCGCCTGACACATTCCAACGCACGGAGAAGGGGCAATTCTTCGGACGGTGGGGCCCCTCTTGAACCTTGGAGAAGTCCGTGGGTTCCCAGTGTGTTGGCTGTGGGTTGGGTGCGTAGTGTCTGTGTGTGCGTAGGTGTTTGTGCGAGGTGTGCGGGCGGATCATGGGCGGATCGTCCGAAGGGGGACCTGGTGGCTGGCAGTCCGGTGTATGTGCGCGTGTGTGTGCATTGTGCCTGTGTGTATGTGATGGGGCGTAGGTGGTTGTGCGAGATGTGCGCGCGGATCACGCGCGGATCGCCCGCAGGGGGACCTGGTGGCTGGCACTCCGGTGTGAGTGCGCGTATGTGTGGTATGGTGCCTGTGCGTGCGTGCTCGTGGGTGTGTATGTGGTGACCTGTGCGTGTGAGGGTATGTGTGGTTGTGGATGAGGGGCGTGTGAGTGTGCTATGGGTGTGTGGGTGTGTGTGCGTGCATGTGGGTGTGCGTATGTGTATGCTTGTATGTGAGTGGCTTTTGTCTACAGGCGACCGTGCATGGGCTGTGGAGGGGCAATTCTTCGGACGGTGGGGCCCCTCTTGAACCTTGGAGAAGTCCGTGGGTTCCCAGTGTGTTGGCTGTGGGTTGGGTGCGTAGTGTCTGTGTGTGCGTAGGTGTTTGTGCGAGGTGTGCGGGCGGATCATGGGCGGATCGTCCGAAGGGGGACCTGGTGGCTGGCAGTCCGGTGTATGTGCGCGTGTGTGTGCATTGTGCCTGTGTGTATGTGATGGGGCGTAGGTGGTTGTGCGAGATGTGCGCGCGGATCACGCGCGGATCGCCCGCAGGGGGACCTGGTGGCTGGCACTCCGGTGTGAGTGCGCGTATGTGTGGTATGGTGCCTGTGCGTGCGTGCTCGTGGGTGTGTATGTGGTGACCTGTGCGTGTGAGGGTATGTGTGGTTGTGGATGAGGGGCGTGTGAGTGTGCTATGGGTGTGTGGGTGTGTGTGCGTGCATGTGGGTGTGCGTATGTGTATGCTTGTATGTGAGTGGCTTTTGTCTACAGGCGACCGTGCATGGGCTGTGGAGGGGCAATTCTTCGGACGGTGGGGCCCCCCTTGAACCTTGGAGAAGTCCGTGGGTTCCCAGTGTGTTGGCTGTGGGTTGTGTGCGTAGTGTCTGTGTGTGTGCGTAGGTGTTTGTGCGAGGTGCGCGGGCGGATCATGGGCGGATCGTCCGAAGGGGGACCTGGTGGCTGGCAGTCCGGTGTATGTGCGCGTGTGAGTGCATTGTGCCTGTGTGTATGTGATGGCGCGTAGGTGGTTGTGCGAGATGTGCGCGCGGATCACGCGCGGATCGCTTGCAGGGGGACCTGGTGGCTGGCACTCCGGTGTGAGTGCGCGTGTGTGTGATTGTGCCTGTGTGTGCGTGCTCGTGGGTGTGTATGTGGTGACCTGTGCGTGTGAGGGTATGTGTGGTTGTGGATGAGGGGCGTGTGAGTGTGCTAGGGGTGTGTGGGTGTGTGTGTGTGCGTGCATGTGGGTGTGCGTATGTGTATGCTTGTATGTGAGCGGCTTTTGTCTACAGGCCACCGTGCCTGGGCTGTGGAGGGGCAAGCCCGTACCCCCTTTACCCGCCACGTGTAGTTGGTGCTCTGTTCGATCATCGTGCCCGGGCTTGACTGCCATGACGGAGAAGATCGCAGGACAACCTGGTGGCTGGCATTCCTGGTGTCATGGGGGGAGGGTACGGTACGAAGGGAGGGGATAAATGCATAGAAGTAGGAGGACTGATGCTCCGCGGACCTGCCTTTTTGGAAACGCCGATGTGGCGGAGAGATGGGGTAGAGCGTGGCCAAGGTACCTGACCATGAGTTCTCCGAGTCGGTTTGGAAAGCCTTCGGGGATCATGTGGGGGAGAATGAGCACGAAGAGAAGAGGAAGAGGAAGATGGAGAGTAGTGGGGACTCTAAGGAGCGTCTTGGGGCACTCTTGGGGTTTCTTGCGAGCTTCCTGGAGGCGTCTTGGACGCGTTTTGGGGGGCTTTCCTGGGCCAGCTGGGGGCCTTCGGGGGCTTCTTGGGGGCCTCTTTGGCCGTCTTAGGGCTTTCCTGGCCCGTCTGACGCCGTCGGAAGCCGTCTTGGAGGCCACTCTGAACCGACTTGGGGCCCTCTTGGGGCGCCTCAGGGCCGTCTTGGAGGCCATCTTGGGCGTCTTGGAGGCCTCTTGGGCCGTCTTGGGGCCCTCTTGGGGCCTTCTTGGGGGCCTCTTGGGCCGTCATGGGACCATCTTGGAGGGCTCTTGGGCGCTCTTGGGGCGATGTTGGGGGCCTTTTGGGCCGTCTTCGGCCGTCGGAGAGCTGAAAAGAAGACCATGCCAAAATCCTTCAAAAAACCTAAGGAAAATCGATGATTTTAGCCTCTTCGGGCCTCCCTGGAGGGCGTCTTGGAGGGCTCTTGGGCCCTCTTGGAGGCTTCTTTGGAGCCTTTGGGGCCGTCTTAGACCATCTTGAGGCTATGCTCGGCCGTCTTGGAGGCCATCTTGGCCTCTTGGAGGCCATCTTGGCCGTCGTGGAGGCACTTATGGGGTGTCTAGAAGGTCCGAGGGATGCTTTGGAGGACTCTTTCCAGGTCTCCGCCGGTGCCCCGGGAGGGCCTGGAATTATCTGATGCCCATCTCTGTCGGGTTTTTCCGTGTCATGTAATAAGGATAAGGAATATATATATATATATATATATATATATATATATATATATGTATATATATATATATATATATATATATATATATATATATATATATATAACGAGCTGACGCGGCGCGAAAGCGAGAATCATACTTTGGCAAACCACCCGCCCTCAATCCGTGAAGCTGTTGCAATTTCCCCCACCCTCTTTTGGTTGGGTTTTCGTTTTGAAATTCAATTTTGAATAGACCAGTGGGATCGCCAACTCACCTGTCCTTCTCCTCCTCCCCCACTCTGTCCCCCTCTCGCCTGCCTGCTGGGGAACCCAACACATTGGGGGACCACGCAAACCCAAACGGAACATCGCCATCCCTATGGGGCTGCGAAGTCTGAAACTGTCGC